AGGAGGTGAAACTCGGGTCAACCTACAAGAAACATTGTATGAGATATAATTTGGGTCAACCTACAATAAAGGTTTTTGGAGGCGAAACTCGGGTTAACCTACAAGAAACGTTGTAGGAGGTGAAACTCGGGTCAACCTACAAGAAACATTGTATGAGATATAATTGGGGTCAACCTACAATAAAGGTTTTTGGAGGCGAAACTCGGGTTAACCTACAAGAAACGTTGTAGGAGGTGAAACTCGGGTCAACCTACAAGAAACATTGTATGAGATATAATTTGGGTCAACCTACAATAAAGGTTTTTGGAGGCGAAACTCGGGTTAACCTACAAGAAACGTTGTAGGAGGTGAAACTCGGGTCAACCTACAAGAAACGTTGTAGGAGGTGACACTCGGGTCAACCTACAATAAAGGTTTTTGGAGGCGAAACTCGGGTTAACCTACAAGAAACGTTGTAGGAGGCGAAACTCGGGTCAACCTACAAGAAACGTTGTAGGAGATAAAATTAGAGTCAACCTAGAAGAAACATTGTAGGAGATGAAACTCCGAAATAAACGTACAAGAAACGTGAACAACAATAAACTATGAATTATGGGACTGAATATTGTCGGCTGAACCAAAGGAAGCGAAGTTAAACAGACTCATTAATAAATTTCCTTGTTTTCAATTTAACAAATACTTAAAAATACAGTCCTAATTTACCTTATCGTTGTTTTTAGTTATTTGTAATATTTGTGGAGAAATTAATTTTGTCTTCCTACTGTTTCTGTTTGGAGTTCCTAATAATTCTCTTTATGACTCGCTGTTACCTTTGTACGATATTAGCAACAACACGCGATTTTTTTTAGGTCATGAAGTTCAAATTACCTCATTAAGAAATCAGATCGAATTATCCATTTATTGTTTGCATTCTGTATTCGTTTATTTACGTCTTCTATTCTAGATTCACAAGCTTTTCATACTGACATTTTACATTGGTAATGTTGCTTATTGTTGGTTGTACTGTGCTACTGGGAACGAGAGTCTCCCCTACATATTTCTAGCAAGTTAAACAACCTTATACTTTTATGACCATTCAAGCAAATTTTCAAAAAAAAAACCTATCAACACAACGTCGAAGAGATTATTTGCCTTGAAAACTGTTTTAAAAGAGACAAAGATATAAAGATGCCGAAACGTCTATTAGGACTTGGAAAGCTTAACGTACATAAAACGAGTCTATTGTGTAGAACCATCAATATTAAATAATAATTATTCAGTCTGATTTCTTTGAGGGACACAATTAGGCAACAGATGTCGCTGAAGACATTTTTATAGCCAGAACTATATCAGTTATGACATTTGACAGTAATGGAGAAAATAGTAATGGATTTCGGGATCATTTATCTTATTGTGATTCATTTACTATTTCTTTACCATTTAAGTGTTGTGATGAAGGATTTCTTCTACTGCTGACTCCGTTCGAATCTTCGATTTCTCTCTACTGCTGTAAGAATTAGCAGCGCAATTTAAAATTTGAAATGTTTTAAAAACTTTAATTGTATAGAACACAATTCTTTTACGTTTTCTGATCTACAAATGACGATTATAACGTGTCCTTCCGAAAGTTTTTGTCTCAAGTTCATCTGCTTAATTCATGTGCTGAATTGTAGAAGTAGGCAGACCTATGTACTTTAAATTGTAGAAGTAGGCAGACCCATGTGCTATAAACTGTAAAGGTAAGCAGACCTATGTATTTTCAACTGTAGAAGTAGGCAGACCTATGTACTTTAATCTGTAGAGGTAAGCAGACCTATGTACTCTGAACTTTAGAAGTAGGCAGCCATTTGTATTTTAAACTGTAGAAGTAGGCAGCCATTTGTATTTTAAACTGTAGAAGTAGGCAGACCTATGTATTTTAAACTGTAGAAGTAGGCAGACCTATGTACTTTAAACTGTAGAAGAAGGCAGACCCATGTACTTTAAACAGTAGAAGAAGGCAGACCCATGTACTTTAAACTGTAGAAGAAGGCAGACCCATGTACTTTAAACTGTAGAAGTAGGCAGACCTATGTACTTTAAACTGTAGAGGTAGGCAGACCTATGCACTTTGAACTCAAGAACAAGGTAATTGGTTAATGATACAGTTCTGATCTAATAACCGAGGATTTTAAGAACAAAATGTTTGAGTAGTATCTCTTGATAGATGTGTAAGTTATCATTAATTATATCCTAGTATCACTTGTTGCATTAGATACGTTTTCACTGATCTTATCCTAGTACCACTTGTTGCACCAAATAATTTATCATTGTTCTTATCCTAGTACCACTTGTTGTAATAAATAAGTTGTCACTGATCTTATCCTAGTACCACTTGTTGTAATACATAAGTTGTCATTGATCTTATCCTAGTACCACTTGTTGTAATAC